ATATTCTAAAGGTCCAGTCCTTGTTGAGTAGTGCCCCCTGTTGATTGTTAATATCATGACAATGGCAGCTTATTCAAATTAAAATGTAATAATATTAAGTGTTATCATTATTATTTATATTTTAGATGTTTTCCTGCTCAGTTAAAAGAATCAGGAGTCTGTGTGTGACCTAAATGAATCTGAGCTTTTAATCTTGTTTTGTTTCTTATTTGTTTGAAGTAATAGAATCATGTATTGGGTGGAATCGCAGGGTTTTGCATGTTTTATCTCATAAACCATGTTCACCTAACACAAGTGCTCCCCACATTGAGTTTGTTGTTTTGTTAATCCACTACACTTGTAAACCTGTGGTAGTATGAGGAGTCTGATTTGTACTAAATCTGTTCCTCAGGGCCTGACAGACACAAAGATCATCGGCAGCAGCTCACGGTTTAGCCCCATGTCTGTCTTGCGGGTCCCCAGCCAAACAGACCTCAGTCAGGCCTACTCCCAGCATTCCCTGCACCGCAGCGTCAGCCAGCTGATTGACAGGAAGTCCCTGATGATGGAGGAGAGAAACTGGGACAGCACATTGGGACTTGACTCTGGGCTGGTGAGGAAGGAAATGTTTTATGTTTATGTTGAAATGATCATTACAGCAGAGAAGGATAGCTCCATGTCACAAGCAAGTCGGGTGGTTCAGTTCAGTTTAGTGCTGTTTTAGTTTATTCCACACAACATAAATCCAAAATACACAAATGAAATGTTTAAAATATGTGTGGGGTAGAAACCAGTAATAGCTCATGAAAATATACCCATACCCTTGTGAAAAAGATTTTTTAATTCAAAACATACAATATCCTCAATGCAGGTTACATATTAGTATAAAAGAGAAAACTGGACATATAGTAGTAAAACTGGGAAAGATTAGAGAGTGTATAGAATATATTTTAAATTAAGCGTTAACAGAATCTTAAAGAGCTCATTTTCATTGCAGATCAGATTTTTAAACAGCAGAGCATTTCTAATTCTTTTGTTGTACACGGACAGTGACAAAGAGAATCCCAAAAATTTACATTTTTATTCCATGAGATTTAACTCGAGACATTTTGTAGAAAAGTGACCCTGAGATGTTTTATACAAAGGAAGATGAAACATTTAATTTCCAGACACACTTCCAAGTGAGAGCAAGGTCTGATCAAAATACAATGCAAACTATTCAATATTTAACCAGTTTGCCTCATCACGCTGTATTATGTCATTCTGTTCATGTTTAACAAGCTGATTTAGTTTGGCTCCAGAGGAACAAAGCATCTGAAGTGAACGACACTGTGCATTCAGAGAACATGTGAAATATCTACAGTGAAAAGGAGTTGGATTCTTTTTCTCTCTGTCACCTTTTCACTGACTCCAGTCTTGTGACTGACTATTTCCTTTCAGTACGGGGAGGAGGATGAGTTCGTGGACGCCATCAAGGCCTTAAGTTCTGTGAAAAAGGAGCACACCATGTTCACTGACACTCACCTGTAAGACACGATCCTTCATCTATCCAGGTATCACAGACACGATCCAGAGCTGGTTTCAAACCCAGACAGTAAAACCATCATTCGAATTAGTCAGTGTTAACTCAGTGTGGGCAGGAGCTCTGACAGGACGGGGAAGTGTGAAAATGATTGAGACAATTTAGGATTGAAATATAAATTAGGAAGTCGGGAAAAATACACTTGGACAGACTGAAGTTAAAAAAAATCTTGTAAATAAAGACCGGGAAAGTTTTACTTTAACTGTTTTACTGCAAAATTCATCTTAAACCAACAGTTTATTTGAAGCCACTGTGTGTGTGTGTGTGTGCGTGCGTGCGTCTGGATTATAATCATACAAAGTGTTATATCTGAACTGCTCAGTTGGATAGCCAGACCATTCTATAATGAATGACAGCTCTTCAACTGAATGATCAGGGTGTTTATATGATTCACTATCTCTGCTTGCCAACTTTTAGTGGTTTTGTTATTTAAAAAAATGTAGAAAGGTCAGATGCATTGTTTAGAATCGAACCAGACTGTAGAAATGGATTCATGTCAGAGGTTTCAGTCGCTTCTTGTGCTTCAGAAAGCTGTTGTGCCTAGAAAGCTTCAACATACAGTGGAGCAGTAGTCCTGTAGACAAAACGAGACAAATGGCCTTGGTGACAAAAAGAAAAATGCCAATTAATGTTTTTTTAAAGTTTGAAATGTGGCTGGGAATCACAGATGTGCCGTCTGACTGTTGTGATTATGTGACGTGACTTTAAAGCCCATTCTGAGATTTTAAGTATTTGGTTGTTGACGTACAGTTTACATTGAATTTTAGAAAGAAGTGGACAAGCTTTGTCGTGAAGTGAAATGTCTAGAATCTAGAGTTGTTTGTCTGTCGCCTGCAGCCTTTTTCATCCTTATATCAAGAAAACACACACAAAAATTGTTTATATCTTGATTCCACCGATTGGGTCTCAACATTGTAGATTATTTATCAGGGCAGGAGGTTGAGTTTCTGTGGGTTTGCATGTTTTCCATACAAAATTCAAGCCGATTGTTATAGAAGCTTTTCTTTTTTACACTGGCAGTATTATTTATTTAATGTCTTATTTATAGATGGTTCATTGATCAATGTTCTTGTTTTTCTGGGAAATGATAAATAATGACCAATGTTCAAGAAAATGCTGTTTTCTGCTTGTGTCCTAGTATTTTCTTTTCTTCTACATGAAACATATTTCAAATATTAACACATCAAGTATTAAACAGTATACACTGGTCCTGAAAGCAACTGTGTCCCTCATACCTTCCTGTGTTGGCTGCAGACATGTCATTTTTCTGCTGCACCTCTCACATATCTTTCTAGAACAACATCCACATTTATTTTCCACGTTTTCTATTTTGTGGTATGAAAATGAGGCCAGGTTCCTATCACAGTTAAACAGAAGAGCCACAGACAACTTGTAGATGTGTAATATTGTTTTTACTCCATTGTGAGCAGAGACGTTAATATTTAAAAAGCAGCATGTCAAAATAAAAGACACAAAACATATCAAGTCCAAGTTAAAGCCATGAATTTCATACTATCAGTACATGAGGACGAGAAGGCATCAAAATGATACAAGACAAAAACTCCACGAGTGATACATGAGCATTTGCTCCATGATGAGTAATATTGTGCTATTGTGGTTTAAATATTCATTTCAATTGTAGAAAAACAATGATGGAAGTTATCGCGTTTACACAAACAGGTGAATGATTTGCATGAGTGCGTGTGTTGGAGTGAAGAACAGACAAGCTTGAGATATTTAAAGCAACACAATGCAACTTTTACTGGGCAACAGCGCCCTCTGCAGCCACATGTAAAGATCAATTATGTTATGTTGACCGGAGCTCTGACTCCCTCTCACTGAGCTGAAACAAGAGAATACTGGATATCACCCATGATCCCCGGCTTCCTGAACCAGATGAGCTGCTGCTGTTACAAATACACCAAACTCTGTTTAGAATTCTTTATATTTTAAATGAGTTTTAGAGAGAAGCTCTGTTTTCTAATGAGTCTTTACCTGATCTACATCGTGAAGCTGCTATTAAAAAAGTTGCATTGTGTTGTTTTAACTAACAGATTACACTTGTTATAAGACACTAGTACAAACAGTAGGAATACATAGTTGAATGCTACACAAAGCTCATGGGTTGAGTTTGGAAAACACACACGTGCCATCAGCTGTACAGATACTTCCAGTTCCCACAATCCCACACCAGCACTAACACTGAGGGGCCCGCATCTGCGTCGAAACTCTGCAGCTGTAGTTTAGTTTTGCTCCCGCGTCCCTCGAGGGGACGTCGAGGCAAGTTTGAAATTAAAAAACTGGCAGTAACAACCCCTGCCTCCGCTCAAGGACGCCAGTCTGACAAGGGCACTTCTAAAACATTCACAGCCACATTCACAGCTATTGTCAGCCACCGAGAGAGGGAGAGGCTGTGAAAAGAGCTTGTGGAGTGATTGTAAGGGACAGTATGGCCCTGAGCTACGCACACACACTCACACACACACACTCACACACACACTCACACACACAGGGTTTTATTAAACTCATAAATCACAATGACGACAGACGGCGTCTCAGAGAGGAGACTGTCTGAATGAGAAGGTTAGTGAAATGAAAGCGCTGGGGAAACACACACACACACCTATGTGACACGCTAACAAAACAAAGATTGTGCACTTTGGCAAGTGATCCCCACAAACTACGTGCTAACAACTCAGCAATGACTGGCAGCACCTCATACCTCATTCAACCTGTTTGTCTTATTACTGCGTCCAGATTTAAAGGTGAAACTGCAGATTCAACATAAACAGCTGTAACTTTTGTGAAATTATTTAGCATTGATATTTAGTTTGAATTAATCGTCACGTCATCGGAGGTTGACAACTCTCAGATCGCAAATATGTTTTGTAATTTATGGTTTCTATTACTGTTCATCTGTGGTTAATATCATTGACCCGGAAAACTGGAGTAAAGTTAATTATCAACAGAACAATTTGTCTTCTACACGTATTAAAACGTGCATGACAATGATTTTAAAAAAGAAAAGAAAAAGTAAACGATTCTAGTCTGTGACCTGACTCCCCTGGTTTCTTTTCAACTGTCATGTTGTACACATCAGAACATTATAAAATAATACATTAGAATCAGTATTATAGGCAATAAAAAGGCAATAAAACAACAAAACATTACAACATAATGCAGCATTGTACACACACACACACACAGTGATGTCCAGATCCAGATATGTAAGCTCACATTAAGCTGGCTGTAATGTGATATAATGTTATGTAAACACAGCCAGAGAAGAAGCAAGGGACGACAGAGGACAGGAGATGTTTTCAGAGGACACTCAGTCATGTGCTGAAATACACTTTTTACTTTATATTTTATATAAAATAAACGATAGAAAGTCACTTTAATATTAGTCTAAATAGTGCAAGTGCAAACGCAGTAAGGTCCAATAGCAGGGTAATATCAATATAGGCATCATACATGGATATGACTATTCACAATATATAAGACAAACAACAGTGTAAGTATCATCACACATCAATGCATCCATGTTAGGACTTTGTCTTGAATATGTTTGTCTACTTTCTGCACAGTTACATTAAAATGCACATGTTTGTACAGGCAGGGACGATGAAGATTTTATACTGAAATAAGATGCAATCTATGAGGTTAAATAGCTGCTCGGTTTGGCAAATTATAATTAACATTTCAGGACAGTTTTTCTAATTATATCTATCTTTTTTTAATGTCTTGTATTTTTACAGCATGTTGTCCCCACAGTTCTAACAAAGCACCAGAAACCAGGAGCTGGTCTGGGTTTCTGTAACTTATCCCAAACAAACAGGAAGTGGAACTCTTACATGGGATCCAACATGTTTGAACAGGAAAGAAGCAGCTTTACCACAAAATAAAGGTTGCTGCCATTTTAATTTATACTTTCCAGTCCTACCAATCCTACTGCTATATTACTTTATAACCAAGGTGCTTTACTTTTGTCTCTTACACACACACAGTTTTACCTTTACAAGAACAAGCTCGAGTTTAAAGTTCCCCAGAGGAAAAGAGAGGGAGCTTCCAGTTAGAGCCTCCTCCAGTATGGTTTACAATAGATACCTAATGCCTCAATTCAAACGATCACCAACTTAACTTCACCTGGTGTAAATCCATCATTTGTGGCTCCACTATGAGCTCCTCATCACAAGCCTTTGGTCAGAATCCTTTTCAACAAATAACTGTCACATGAGTTCAATTAAGGCACTGCAACAGTCGTCCAAAACAAGACACGTTTAACAAGTTTAAAAGAGGGAGTAAAGTGATGTAGTGTAGGTCCTTGTAGTGAGGGTAGTTATATTGTGATACTGTAAAAAAATATATAAATAATAATTAGTGTGATCTTGTGCAGGCACCACTATCAGAAAACAGACTGAATTCAAGAATTAGAGGTGTAAAGCATGCCCCACATGGTTTTTCTCTGTTAAGATATTTAAGAGAAGGGTCACACAAAAACCATAAAGCATTGAAAACAGATTTTGTTCCAATTTAAAATGTGTCCGAAGATGTTCGCTGTCAGTGTTAATGCTACAATGGCATTAATGGATAAATCAGTTTATGAGGTTTCAGTTGTGTGCCACCAATTTTCTTTTCCAGTTTACAAATACTGCATCACATTGTTGGAGTGTTCTGTAAATGTCACATGTTGCAGAGAGTGATGCTCCTCGCTACCACAATAAGCAATTTGCCAGAAAATAAAACAAAAATTTAGTTGAACAACCAGCTGCAGTGAATTGTTGTTCAGGTCATCATCCATGAATCTCACTATGTGGCGATCCTCATGACTTCATGTTTGTTTTAGCTGTCAGGCATCATAACTCCACTGTTGCATAGTTGTCACTGAGCTGTCGAATAACAAATCTAAAAAGGTTTGACTTTGTGATGGAGCTACATGCTGACTTCACTGCTCGCTGTCTGTTCACTTCTACTGTCACTGCTTTATCAACTAGAACTGTTGGGACATTCTGATTCAAGTAGCTGCCACGATTCTGGCAAAGGTACAATAAATTCCACATGTAATCAGAGATGATGAACTTTTCAGCAACTTGCTGGTTGCAGCTTCTCCCATGTGAGGATGTGCTGCTTTTTCATGGTTTATATCAATGTGTACTGGATACATTAATAGTAAGATCTGACATTTTGTAGGCTAAACTAATAATTCTAAAATAATCTGAAAGATTACTCAAGAATGAAAAAAAAGGTTATCTCAATGTCTAATGTTGCCACAAGCTACACACTCCTCAGGTAGAATCAGAAACCCCTTCTCTGTGACTAGTACTGGGCCTTACTATCTCTTTTCATTTTAATGAAGCTTGATGAGTTAATGGATTTAGTTTTATCTTTGGCCTGACAACTTAATGTGCGTCAAACCAAACAGGCCGCTACACATTCTTTACCAGAACCAAGAGACTGCCTCCTTCTGTAGTGACTGTATGTTTGTTGAACAACAACTACCTATTCCAGATGTTCTCCCAAACTGAGCTGGCACACTACTATCAGACTCCTGTCTGTAAACTCTGACCTCATCACTGATCTGTTGAGATTAATGCCAACACCAAAAACAAACAGAGACGGTCGGGAATCATTTCCCGAGAGTGATCAAAAAGAAAAGATATTCCCGCTCTGGTTGAGATGTCACGCAGCTAGTGCCGGTGTAATGTTAACACAAAAAGATTTTCAGCCTTGGGATCAGCTGTGCTGGGACAGAGTCATTTCCTGTGGGCTCCCAAAGCAAATCATTTACCCATTTACATCCCAAACCCTGCTTCATATCCAGTCTGACGCAGTAAGTTCAACAGGACGCCTCCATGAAATGATTCCACTGACTGGGATCAGTGAATGGGAGGTGGGCCTTTAGTGCTTTCACAGGCTGCTGTCCTGATTGGACAGCTCAGGGGCCAGCTTCCTGTGTCGTGGTGAGGTGGAGGAGGCCAGTTTGGTCGGGGAGGGGGAGGCATTTGCAGATGAGTCGCTGCCACCACCATCAGACCCGGAGGGGAGGGAGGAGAGGTGAGGAACTGGAGGTGCCCTCTTCCTCCCTAGAAAGCCTCCTTCTAGTACTCCCCTTTTCCTCACACCTCCCTCTGACTTTGCCCCATCTCCTCCGAAGCCCACGCCCTCTCCCTCCTCCGTTGCGTGCACCTTTTTTCTGACGTCTCCCCCTGGTATTGGGCTGTCCGGAGGTTGGCGTGAAGTTTCTTGAGCACCTTCTGCCCTCACCCCAGAAACACCAGCAGCAGTCAGCACCGCAACGTTCGTGCTAGAGCTCGCACAGGTGGTTCGACAAGCCCAGAACTCCATCATTGAGGCTCTCCTCTCACTGTCCTCGGGCCCAAAGTCACAGAGTGAACGGCGGGCATCAGTGACCTGGCTCGGTCCCTGGGCTGACGTCTGGCCTGTGCTCTCCAGGACACCTCGATTCAGGCTGAAGTTCTGGAAGTCTCTATGGAAAGAGAAGTGGATGCAGGTAATTTAATGGTGGAAAGAAAGCTCAGCAAGTGTAAATGCATGTGTGTTGAGACTGTTTGCACACAAGAGGATGCACAGTAAGACTGGATTTTATCAACACTGTTAACGGGTTGGTTAGTTTATCTATCTAAAAAAAATAGAGATTTACTTTATAAAATGTTTAATCCGTAGTGGTCTACTTGTGCTGCTAGCTTTTATTTAATTCTTTGAGGTTTTGAGGAGTTGCTTAATAATTCTGCTGCCACCAAAATCAAATGTAGGTAAACAGAATTTAGTTTGTGAAGCTCTCAGCGCTAAAAAGTGGCATTTAAAAATGTAACAGCAATGTGCTGTTCCAGAGACAGTGCCCCAGTGGTTTGTTGTAAACGGTCTTTACAGTGAGCTTTCTCTTTAACATACAGTAAACACATGATTGTTATGTGTAACTGAAGCATTGCTCCTGGGTTCTTTTCTGTATTTTGTTGCATAATTTGCAATAAAATGAAAAGATAAAACCCTTTAAAATAAGAGAATCTGGAGAGTCAAACAAATGTAATTTCACCTGTAGCTGTGGAAGGACTCCGTTCGTCGAGCGCGGGCCAGCAGGGGGCTCTCTCTGTAGGGCCGCACAGCTGCATAAGTAGCCTGACTCTCAGGAATGGGCTCCTGTGCCTGTAACTGCAGACTGAAAGAAAGAAGACAAGAAAAAAAAAGACGGTCATTAAAAGTCCTTGTTTATCGTATGAATTGATAGGATATTGTTCAGGTTTGTCATTGTGATTATGAACCATGTATTTGTAAATGCAGAATTAGGACGGGTTGGAAGAAGCTAGTTGTTTCCTTTAGTGTGTGTTTGTCTTTAATGTGGTGTGCGTGAACTTTCTTTCCGACCTGGAGCAGGACTCTCGCAGGCGTGTGTGGTGCAGCACCGAAGGGGCAGGGCTAATATTTGGTGTGGCACAGCGGGAGGTGCTCAGGTCACACTGGTCCAACAGCTGCAGCAGCTCCTCCTCTGTAGGCCCACCGACATCTGTCAAACACAGGAGCAGCTTCACACACAGCATCTCATCCAAAGAAACTATTGCATTTAATACTAGACAGTGGGGTCTTCTCGACATATAAACCTTTCACGAGGTGAGTAAATATAGACACACACAGATAATCTCCCCATTCCCTCTCTCTCTCCCCCTCTCAGTCTTTACTTCCTCACCCTCTGTCTTCCTCTCCTCTCCTTTGTTAGCTGTGTCCATCGCAGTGGTCAGGTCCCACATTTGGATGCTGCCGTTACCGTGGCCAGTGAACAGATAGCGCCGAGGTCGTGACCCCATCCGACTGGAACCTTCGCACTCCCGCACCATAAAGCAAGAGATGGTGGTCCCGTCCACTGACTGCACTTCACAGATCCTGAGAAACAGAAAAACCTCAGCCAAGTAGCACAGGTCAAAGTGCCTACAGCCTGAATAAAGAGGAAAACATTGGAAGTATCATGCAAACCCTCCTTCCTCCCAGTGTGTGACTGTAAAAGACAAAGGTCAGAGGAGCAGAGATAGAAAAACATGAAACCTTTTTCCAGTAGATGAGAGCCTCACAAACAGTTTGTTGGTGATCGGGATGACCTTCTGAATAAAAACCTGCTGATCATCTCTTTCTCCAAATGGACCTGAGAGCAGAAACACGCCAACTCAGCTTCAACGTCTTACAGCAAACAAATAAACCACTACAGAATACTGTGAGAAAATACAAGAGCACAGTCTTCAGGAACTGTACAAGTGTATGCAGGCAACTGGACTTGCTTGTTTTTTGAAGACGTTTCACCTCTCATCTAAGAGACTTCATCAGCTCAGAACAAGCAAGTCCGGTTACCTACGCACACATGTACGTAAGTTATGACCAGATGCAGTGACCTGAATGACTGGGAATCTTCACAAATACAAGAACACAAATGATGATAGCCCAAGAAGTATCAAACAGTTGTCAAAATTCTGAAGGTGATATCTTCGTCTAAACCTAAAATATTCACTTTAAGATAAGTAATATAAGCTTTTTAAAATTTAGCTTGAAAAATTACTTTAACATTTACTTGATATCCTAATAGTTTCTGATTATGTCCGTCAATCAACTAATTGATGAATTTACTAACTGTTTCATCTCTATATCTGCCCTTCCCTCATATTAATTTCTGTTTCCATATTTTAATTCTTTGAATCGTCCCGTCTTATCTCTCTCACCGATATCATTCCCGGAGCAGTAGCTCCCGTGGCTCTCCGTCTCCTCCAGGGACAGGATTTTGAAAGAGGCCAGAGGGGTGGAGCCTGGCTGGGTGGAGATCATGCCTCTGAAACGTGTCACCGTCCATGTCCGAACGTGATTGTTGTCCGCGCACACTGACACAGAAAAACACAAACAACCACACAAGATTTCAGTCACAGGTAAACTATACACACAGATACGACACCACAATGCACGAGAGGTGATTAGATTAGTGTCAGACTACATTTGAGCTTCTATTACCTATCAACCATCAGCAGGGACCTGTTCCACCTTCCTCACCTGACACCAGATGTTTCTCAGACAGCATGATCTTCGTCACTGGGCTCCTGTGCACAGTGAACGTCTGAAAGAGCTGGGGGCCTGAGCCCACTGTCTCCGGGTGTTGCACGATCACTCTCACTGCACCGCTGCTCGTCCCATAGGCGATCTCTATCCAGTTTCCACTCACACCTGACAGCAGAGAGAAACACGTCAGGCCAGTGACTGTGACTTATGTTGCATCCAAAAATGTCCAGGACATGAAACTGATCTGAATCAATATGAGAAGGACAAGGCAGGATACGATTTCTGCCATTCATTTTTGTCTGGGTTTTCTCTTACTGGTTTTAGGTGTGAGGTAGACAGACAGCGCAGTGATGGCATCGTTTGAAGGATCGTGATAAAGCTCAGTCACCAGGAGATCATTATCCTTCATCCTCAGTGGAAACTTTTGCATGTCTGAAAAGAAGAGGAAGATCATGAAAGAGCCTCACTTGTTGCACCTTTTCTTGAACAAGGTATTTTTAGATATGACTTCACTAACATCCATAACCTGAGCGACAGACAGAAGATAGCGGACACTGTGTGTGTGTGTGTGTGTGTGTGTGTGTACCTATGTAGTAGATGGAGCCATTGTTGCAGCCCAGGAGTAAAAAGGATCCAGCTGTGTCACAGCTGGTGATGGGAACCACATCTTGAACCTAATACTCAAAACAAATGTGAACTCTCAATCAGGACAGTGTTCTTCCATGTAGTCTGTGATACATTTTATACTAATCACCATTATATTATGTACTGTACATTTATTTTTACCTGGAGTAAAACTTTTACGTTTTACCTCAGAGCGTGGAAACAGAAACACACTCTTCCTCCACCTATCTACTGTATGTCTCATCCAAACACACAAACACATTCTTCCCCCACCTATCTATGTCTCATCCAAACACATACACATACACACCCTTCCTCCACCTATCTATGTCTCATCCATACACACACACGTGCACATGTTCCTTCTTACCTGCCAGTGTTGTGTGACAGCATTCCACACCCCAACCTTCCCTGTGTGGCTCGTAGCCACCAGCTGGTTTCCGATGAAAAAGAGATCATCGACCGGTACACTGAGACTGAAGACGCCTGAGGAAGTGAAGAGAGAGAGAACAACCAGTGTTTTTCATCTGAACGCAGATTTAAAGTTGAGTTACATTGAGTATGTGTCATTACACTTAAAACTTCTCAGTCTGGACCACACTTTTTATCTAAATTGTAAACGTACCTATCTCATTACCACTGCCTCCATCTTGGATGCTCCAGAGGATGATGCTGCTTTCAGAGGCAGCGGCCACCATCTTGTCCTTGTCTCCATGCGGGCCACCCACCACCTTGGCATTAAGCGCGATGCGTTCAATGGTCCGGTCAAGGTAGGGGGAAGAAAACACCTGCTGCCATCCTGACGATTCCTTTATCCTGCAATAAGATCACACACAAATCTTTGCACTGCTTTCATTCTACTAGATTTCCCATAATACAGTGCTTTGTAACTTCAAAGTTCAGCTTTGACGAAGTTGGATGTGGGTCAGATTAAAAAACCTTCCAGAAGATTTTCTAAGAATGTAAACAAACACCCACCAGTGCTGCAGGTACGCACTGATAAACGCTTGCATGTTTTATTCTGTATTCCAAACATTTATCTTGATTCAAATGGACTTATCTTTAACTCTGTCTTTTTCCCTCATGTCTGCTTTCATTACCAAAGAATTCATGTTTAAATTGACACAATCCATAACCATGCTGTAAAACAATCTGTCTTCTTTATCAGAAAACCATTTAAAACATTTTGTTGTTTGTTTTCTTGCTTTGAACTGAGCCTAAGATGAGAGCTAGTGCACAGGTACAGATGAAGTACATTAAAGATTCATGAGAAATCTGAGATGCAACAGATAATGACGCCATCTTCCAATCTTAAATAATTTAATGTCTCACTTTAATGAACTACAGAGCGAATGAGACACACTTTTACTGCACTGTGTTGTGACAGTGTTACCTGTAGCAGATGACATAGTGTGCGTACGCTGCTACGATCCAGTTGTGGTGCCCTGCTACAATCAACACCTTCCTGGGGTCAACAATGGGACCTACACACATACACACCCACACACAAGTAGACAAAATGCACATTGATACAATTCTTTAATAGTTTGATAACTACATTATGTTTCTACATTATTTTTCATTATTGTATGTGATTATCTGAATCACTGAAAAAAACCTACATTATGATATCTAGAGCCAGACACAGAGTATGTGTTTACTGCAGCTCATTACAGCCTCTGAGGTCATCGTCAACAGAGAACAAGCCAATATGAAACTAGGCTACATCAGAGGAATGTGTCAGGTCACATTAGCTGAACCATTAATGCTCATTTAAGGCAAAACACACAGATCTGAAAAAGCGTAAACTACCTATATCTATACTCTTTACTTCACAAAGCTGATCCGGGCCACTCACCCAGTTTGTGGTTGTCATCTGCTCCAGGTGAAGCAGGGAGGGAGGGGTGAGGAGGGGGACCGACACGGGTGAAGCCCTCTGCTCCACTTGGACCCAGCCGCTCTTCAGAGGAGGAACCCACAGCTGCTGAAGCAGCGCACGATTTACGGGCAGGGATGGCTGAAAGATTTGCTGAGATTTATTTTTTCATTATATACTTGGAACAAGGTCATTTCTGTCTTGGAACGTTTTTGTAAAACATTATTCAAACATTCACTCTATTTTAGACCATTTTCTCTATTGCTCAGTTTCATATGTTCACCTGGGGGTGGCAGGTAACCATGGAAGAGAACACTACCACATGACGAGCGGTCCAGTTCCTCACACAGCAAAAGGCGCCGCACTGCAAACACACATAAACACACAGAAGTTTTAAAGTTAAATGGCAACAAAATTGTCCCTTTGCTCTGTGAGATTTAAACACCAATCCCTTGTTCTTCTATTTGTGTATATGTATTATATGTGTTCATTACGTATTACTATGTATTACACTGTAAAGTATGTGCCACTGTTCTTGTCATGACATTTAGTATGTGATCACTATCACTGATCAGGTGATCATTACTTGAATTACCCATTCAAATATACAGACAATGTAGGGAATAAACTGTGAAACAGGAAGTAAAACAGAGAACATGAAATTGATAGTAAGATTTAGACCTTGGTCAAGTTGCAGCTGAAGCTAAAATACATTTAGCAACACAAGAAAACATTTCACTTAAACAACAAAATGTGTTACAAGACTGTACTGTATGCAAAACAAACATTTTCACAATATTTCTAAGCATCAGTGCTCGTGCCAAGAACACAGCCTCTCTGTGAATTTACCCATAAAACTCAGTCAGTGACATACCTAAAGGAGTTATTCCGTAAAACTCTGCTTCATGTCTCAGGACGCTGATGTTGACACCCCTACAGACAGAAAGAAAACGGCATATGTATTCTATGAGACGCTGCTTATAACTCAATATAAAGTCTTCCTAATATGAACATTCAGGAATATTTTCTGAATGTTGTCATGGCTCCTTACCGCAGGTCCAATTCTTTGGTTCGGAGAAAATTCAAAATTGGTGCAAAAGCTGTGGGGTCTCTGTCAATAAATATCTGGAAGTGAGGAATAAATATATTATGATGCAAATGCAGAGTTTCATTAACCATAAATTTTAAAAAATGGTGAAGATTCAAAAACTTCCCCGGTTACTTGTGTGTATGTTGCCTAGTGACATTCTAACACGGACATAGAAGTGTAAAGTCACATTGTATTATCTTATTTGATTGTGTAAAAACAAGTATAACACTTTACAACAACAGAAATAGTGCATGTAAATAGTGTTACAATTATTAGGTGACTAATTAATTCACATAAATGAATATCACCATGGGCTGTTTCACTACTTCCTGACATTTTTGTGTTTTACTGACAGTACAAATCAGTGCATCATCCAAAACTTTGAACATGAATGAAATCAAATAATGAATTATTGACTGTGGGCTACAGAATTTGTTCAACATGGCCACAAATGGTCAAATTTTAGTTCCTGCGCACAAAAAGACAACCTTAAGGCAATGTGTCATATTTCAGTGAGTTGAATCATTACACAACATCATCACGTCATCATGTTCTATCTGCTGGAAACTTATAGAGAATTTTTAGATGTTGATGAGGATGTGACCTGCGGACGCTGTCCTAGTTTGTAATAAGAAGCGACAAAGGCTTTACTCACAGCTCCCGTTTCATCCCGAAGAGTGGATATCCTTCCACTCAGTAGACTGAAAACACACACACACACACACACACACAGTCCTCCAGTTAAACCAGGCACGTCTCCATTTCTACTTTGACTGACCAGCAGTGTTACCACTACCCGCAGTAACAGTAACAAAAACTCATCAAGATAACATTAGCACAGCGATCATGGTAAAAACAACTGTGCTGATATTTTATTGAATATCTAATATAAAAAGGTTTTTGATAAGAACTGACTGTACACTGGCACTGCAGACAGCTGGGGCAGACAGACTGACTGACAGACAGACAGGCAGACAGGTGCTCTGGCAGACAGTCTGACAGCATTAAGGATTACTTCAGTCAGCTGTTGTCAAACAGTGAGCTCAGTCCGGTGTTTGAGCTTGTTATGACCATGGTGTCAGCACAGCCTCAACTGGCTGTCTCAGTGTGTTCACCAGTAGAGCTGGAATCACAGCGAAATAACTCATGAGAAGGATTTTTCTTAAAGGCATGTGAACTGATGAGGATTCTTAAAACATGGGATACATGTTTGCAGTGAATCCTGTGTAAATACAAGATTCACGTCTCAGTAAAATACCAAAATAAACATCATTTATTCATTATCTGTGTTCTATAGACTCCATTAACATTTTCCATCCCCAGTATGCTGGAAGTATGAGTCAAGACAGAGACACGATAAGAACATTTTCTATAATAACACATTATTTATCTTTGACTGATGATTGCTTGACATTGAAACTGTTTTGATTGCGTTCATAATTTTGTCTTGCAAAGCACTTGCGAACTTTGTTTTGAAAAGTGCAATAGAAATAAAACGTGTATTATGATTATTGTTATGATAATTCTGATTTGAAATATGGGTTTATGTGTGATTTGAAAGTTTCTGTGGTTATGCAGACACATTCAGCTCATGTTTGCTACACACAGCCAAACACTGCACTTAACTGCTAAGACTTTTTTTAAATCTCTACTCTTTGGTAGAGAGATCCAACATACTGACAACATCCAACCAACCTGGAGAAGAAGGAATCAGGGATCCACATCAGGGTCTGTCTGGAGGTGCTGAACCTGTAAGTACATCATAGTACATGTATTACAAACAGGGACAGGAGTGACAGTGAATGGTCACAACACTGACTGATGCAGAATTAAAGTGCTGAGGAGATCATCAGTCTAAATCACCCATGTACACTGTGTACAGAGCAGAAACCACAGTGGATGTGTGAGTGAGACACAGAAAGAGCACATGAATAATATAAAGGAATAACCATGATCATCCATGTCTGCTTGGCCATCACGTATGTACGTGGCCAGAGATCACGTCGCCCACATGATGACCATCCTCTGTGGACGAAGCTTACCTCGTCCCTCCGACGTTTAGCTGGATGATCTCCCCCATCCCGGGAGTCAAATTGTTGCCGTTCGTAGCCATGACGGAATCGAACCTGCTGGGGTGGTTGGAGGGAAAGTGGCTGCTCCGTAAAACCGGTGGCAGCTAGCTTTGCTAACACTCAGCTGATGTCCCGACTCTCCCTCAGCCTCACGACCTCTCCCTCGTCCCACCTCCCATAAAAGACCCCTCACACACGACCCGTGAGGACGGCGTCTGTGTCGCTGACCCTCCGCATGGTGGGCGAACAGAGACCGGGCTTGTTAACCAGAGGACGGACACACAGCGACTCCTTTATCCGCCACTGAGCCTGTTAGCATCGTTCCTGCGCATGTAAATCATCGTGAATAATATCTTGCGCCGAATTTTAGCAACGTGAAAACAGCTGTCCAGACTTGTGCAGCCGAGGCGAGAGCGTTCACCCCTCACTGCTTCCGCTCCCGCTTTGATCGGTCATTAGACAGCTAAATTAAACTCTTCCTTTTTAAATGAATGAATGTGTTGGCTCGATTGTTCGCTGCTGGTGTATGTGAGACATAAACACACGTTACATAGTCCGACAGGCCCTTACGTGGACCTACTGCTTCACAAACTAGCCTTCGGGGAACTATCTTGATCGTCCTGGAGCTGCTCACTATCAGAACCGCGTGTGCGCTTGATTTATCCACAGCTTGACAATTGAGTCAACTCGAAGGGGATAGATAATGTATCACTTAAAAACAATTTAGTCTCGTACGTTTATTTTTTTTCTTTCTTTCATTTTCTCCTGTTTTTATTTGACGCTAGATTCGTTCCTGTGTGTTGTCTTCTCCAGTGTGCACGTGATTCCATGTGATCTCTGTCACTGCTTTGCACAAATAAAGAAGAGAAATAAAATAAAATAAACCACACATCTTCTATAAGTGAATTCTATAATATATGAAAATGGATAACTCTAGGTCGTTTCGGAGCCATGTTTTCTTTTTATCAGCTCTCCAGTATTGTGTTGTGTACTGGTTTATACATATTGATGTAATGTTTACAATTTGTTTACATTTATAATGCTATTTATTTCTTGCATTCATAATTGTATTTATTTTTTACATTCATGCTTGTAATTATGTTTTCACATGTATCACTATTTATTCCTTAGATTCATGTTTTTGTTTGTTGTTATCAGCTCTCTTGCATTGTGTTGTGACTGAGGTCAAGTGAGCAGACGTTCGTCTTTTCCTGATTTCAAGTGCGCCCGTATTAAAGAATGTATGGCAAATGCAGGTAGTCCATGATATGGAGCGAGCCATTCTTTGATGCTACTGTAAAATCTCTTTGATCCATAATTTCTGACAAAGGCTGATACAGTTGTCCTCAGGACCATCCTGACTGGAGCATTATGCTCTTTATTTACTCTACTGTAAATAAAGTAGACTTTACAGTATTTTACAGTAGAGTAAATAAAGAGCATAATGCCTTTTTCAACTAAAAGGAGGAACTTTGAGGCTGAATTTCTCCAAAATGATCCAGTGAATATGCTTGATACTGAGTGAGTGAACAGTCAGGATGGTCCTGAGGACAACTTTTGACAACCTTTGTCAGAAATTATGGATCAAAGAGATTTTACAGTAGCATCAAAGAATGGCTCGCTCCATATCATGGACTACCTGCATTTGCCATACATTCTGTAATACGGGCGCACTTGAAATCAGGAAAAGACGAACGCCTGCTCACTTGACCTCACTGTGTTGTGTACTGGGTTGTACTGGGTTGTACCCTCTTTATATACAGTCTATGGTTGTTCCTGGTGTACTGTGTACAATGTGTATGCACCGTTGAACCAAACACACAACTCACAGTGTGACCATGAGTTAAACAGAAGAATGTGCACACACAGTGTATCGCCCCCATGTTGTAGCACTAACTCCTCTCCACTGGGTTTTCCCCCCACACAAACGAGCGCTCCTCTAAGTGCCGCCCCGCCCCTCCCACGTCTGCCAGCAGAAAGGGAGCTGAAAGCCGTCAACACGTTTAATGACGGAGCAGCACTTTTTACACTAAAGCGTCTCGTCTCTGTCTCGGTGTCAGTATGTAACACGGAGCGGTTGGTCCGGTGCTAGTCCTCAGTGCCTCGGTAAGATTTTTCATCCACTGCGACTCAACTTTGTGTTAGCTGTTTATTTGTTTACCCCCCCCCATTAGCATGTTAGCCGAGGGAAAGTTAGCTAAGGAGTGGGAGGCTGAACTTCTCGAAGCTAACGTTGAACGTTAGCAGCAGCCTTGCTAGCTACATTAGCGATTTGAGTTGGACTGAGTGTAGTTTTCTTGTCGCGTGACTGTAACAACGCTACAAACAAAGCCCTTGGCGTTAGCTCGTCCCCCAGGAGTTCACTGAACTGGGTGGGGAAAGTAGGACATGTTTGACAGTGATTGTTGTGACGCTCTTTCCGCAGGTTGCAGTAGTCCTTCAACCCTCTTTGCCCTCGTATGTGCCTACAGCCTTCTTCCTCGTTGATGGACGCTGGACTAGCTTTAACTTCGAGGAGGGGAAACAGTAAGACAGAGGCTTCCCATCACTTGTTGCAGCTCGGGAACAGGAGCACGGAGAAGGAGAGTCAATAGCTGTGTCAGGATGCTGGACACGGAGAGCAAAGAGGCTCCAGCTGCTGAGAGCAACAAGGCAGAGGTCACAGCGGGACACGTGTCCACTAACACGCTGCAGGTACCAGGTGGAGCATCCGTGTCTCCGCCCGTGGCCTCCATTCACTCTCACTCTCCAGCCCCCCCAGCCACAGAGGATGAGGATGAGAGTGAGGACGAGTCAGACATCTTGGAGGAAAGTCCCTGTGGCCGCTGGCAGAAACGTAGAGAGGAGGTAAGAGGGGAGCAGGAAGCTGAGCTGTCACAGTGTCAGCTGAAAATGAAGAACAGAGTATTATATGTTCAAAAGGTTAACTTGAGACACATCACACTGTCTGTATCAGTCAAAGGTTCATTTGATTCTTGAGTATGTATATTTACTAGTGTCATTTTGATTTGTTTGGATTTTATCTCTATTTAATTGCGTAGTCTCATTGACATTTTCAATATTGTTTTGAAGAGAGACCAGGACAGGAGACGTCCACATTCAGCTGATAAATACAACACAACAAAGAGTTAAATAATGAAAAGTAACACAACAAGGGCGTATGTTCAGAAGTTGGGCAAGTGAAGATAGGCAACTGGACTTGCTGGTGTTTCTTGAAGACGTTTCGTCTCTCATCCAAAAGGCTTCTTTAGTTCAGGAGTTGGCAGGGCCAACAGACAGAGGCAGAATGTTATTCCCATTCACACAAGCAAACACTCAAAGCACGCACACTCAGTATCCAATTAACCCAACCCCAATCTGCATAAGTACCCAGAGAAAACCATAGGAGCAAACCCACACAAACACAGGGAGACCGTGCAAACTCCTCACAGAAAGGACCATGGCCGAACTGGGATTTAAAACCAAACCAAAATTTAACCCACATCATCACCCACATCAGTGTGATATATAACTATCTGAAACCATCTCTGGGGGAAATTACTTTTAGTTGTTTATTTATTGGCCATGTCCCATCAACTAATGCAGGTTTTATGACCCATATTGGACCAGCCCCCAGGGGGGAGGGCAATCGTGATGTTTTGCTTGTATCTCTTTCTTCTAGTTAAGAATATTATATGAGCGTAATTACACGTAAGCAAGTCTTTTTCAAAACATGTTTTTTTTGTCTTGAATTTCACTTCAGAGTTAAAATGTATGATCTCACGAGCCACTTTTCTGTTCCCTTTAAATGTAGGTGAATCAGCGTAATGTACCCGGGATAGATGCTGCGTACTTAGCTATGGACACAGAGGAGGGTGTGGAGGTAGTTTGGAATGAAGTCATGATCTCGGAGAGAAAGAACTTCAAACTGCTGGAGGTGAGGAACGGTGTTACAGAGTAGGAATGAAACGGATAGTTACTTTAAGGAGTATGCACTAATTGTCACGTAGTTGTGACTTGTTCATGTAATTATATATGGATTGTGACAGCAACCAAACACATTTTTCTCTGTTAGCTCATCCAAGCTGTGACCTCAAAATGTAAAAAGGATAAAGAACATTGTTGACTTACTTTCATTGATGTTCATGTGCACAGGTTGAATGAATATAACGATTGATTGGGTATTAAGAGCAGCAGTAGTACCCAGACTCTAATGATAGTTTTAGGGGTGAAAATGACATGGCTCAGTGTTAATGCAATGTGGAAAAACCAGTGTATAACTGCAATCCCCATAACTTCACTGTAGCACATACTGACATCACTAGTACTCTAATGTAACTCTTAATTTTATCACTAGAAATTAACTTACAGGGTACCTGGAAATCCTTCAAAGTTTGTGAATTTGAGAAAATCTGGTTATTCAGACTTTGTAAAATAATTTTAAATGCTTGATTTATTTATTTTGTGCAAAAATGAGAAATTAATGTTCTTTTTGATATATTTATTTAAAACATAAAAGTCACTACATAGCCTGCGTACTGTGGTCTGCATGTGTTTTCACCATCTGTGCTGTGTTAGGGAGGGTAGATACCTGGCAAGCCACTCTCTTTATGTCTTGTCTGTAAAGACAGTTAGTTCTCATAGTGTACTCTTGCTGTTGAAAGAGTAATCAACCATGATCAGTTTCTCAAACTACCAATAAGGGTCCTTGATTTGAACGAAATTACTTAAAACTTCATTGAATTTGATGTTAAAGAATGTGTGGGCAAGTTTTGAAATCATATGTTTTGTACTGGAGAGAAAACACATTTTTTAGAGCTTTTTTCAAGATAGTTAATTCAGACATGCTCTACTTACACACATTTCCTTGTATCTAGGAGAAAGTCAAGGCTGTATTTGATAACTTGATCCATTTGGAACATGCAAATATTGTCAAGTTTCACAAGTACTGGGCTGACACAAAGGAGAACCGGGCCAGGGTGAGTGTCAGACCTTTTATAACATTAATGAATCTTTTGACTGCCAGTTGCATTAATGCAATCATTACTTTCAAGTATCATAAAATTGTCAATTGACAATTGTCTTCTGTTTTATCATTATCAATAATATCTGGTGTCGCCTAATGTCTTCGCTCCCTCAGGTGATTTTCATTACAGAATATATGTCCTCCGGAAGCTTGAAGCAGTTCCTGAAGAAGACCAAGAAGAATCACAAGAGTATGAATGAGAAGGTAAAAGCTGGCTGTATGTAAATACACTGTGAAATAATAAACTTTCATAATTGTGAAAGTAACAGTTCCTTTATAACTGAATACAATTGGATTTGTGGAGTAAGGAACAAGTTTAATAGTCTGGTAAACAAATGTATTGGGGTCCTGTGCACCATTTGGCCTCTTGATATAATGCAAGCCATAGTTGATCCATACTGGCAACCAGCCAGGAAGTGCTCTGATAAGATGTATGGTCCTACAGGCTTGGAAGAGATGGTGCACTCAGATCCTGTCTGCTCTCAGGTTGGCCTTCCTTTTTCAGACATTATGTTCAAAAAGTTAAATATGGACCCTCACAGGAAAATGCACACACAGATAATAATCTAGACCCTCTCTCACATAATTTGTATGCATTTGTGAATGTTTTTTCCTATTGAGCAGTTATCTCCACTCATGTGATCCACCCATCATCCATGGTGACCTGACCTGTGATACCATCTTCATTCAGCACAACGGGCTCATCAAGATAGGATCAGGTATAGAATTACACTGGTTTGCTTTAACTGCCTTAGGTAGCGGAGCAGCAGTGCTGCTGTTGGGGTCAAATTAAACTGAATAATGGATGTAAAGATTGGAAATTTCAAATATTTTTATGCAAAATTTCCTGAACTGTTCCAAATGAACCCTGTACATTGTGTGTAAACAAGGGTGGTGTGCTTGGTCCTCCCTCTCACATTCTTTCCTTTTCCTCGGCCTGTGTTTTACTCTTTTCTGCAGCACACTCATTTCTCTTGATGTTCACCATCCTGCTTCTACATAATCCTCTTTATTGTCCCTTGTCTCATCTACAGTTGCTCCAGACACTATAAACAGCCATGTCAAGACTTGTCAAGAGGAACAGAAGAACATGCACTTCTTTGCTCCAGAATATGGAGGTAGATATTTCTATGGTTGCTGATATTGAAGGTCTCTGAGCTCCAGAGTAAACTGAATCACACAGATCTATTGGACAATATCCCTCAACTTACTGTTTTTAGGATA